CTTTACGAAAAGCTTCAGTGAAAGTGGACACAATGAGCAAATGGCAGAGACTCTTTGTTCCTACATACCCTTTCCACCGCACGTAATGATTGACCTTGAGCCATCATTTGACGGACACTTGGCTGACAATATCTATCACGTTTTAGAGGCCTGCAAAAACTTTTCAAAATTGCATAAGCCAGTTCAGCTTACTGTCCATGATTCATTATTTGGTCGGTACCTTAGCTATCAGGACGTTGCCAAACGGATACAATCCTGCTCGCAGCTTGAGACTCTAAGCATTTTCACCCCTTCTATGACATCAGACCTAGCCAACGCCCTACACAACGGCTTATCTGGAAACACGACTTTATCAGAGTTTACTCTAGAAGTATGTGGCAGTATTTCTTGTGACGCAGCTGCCGTCATCGGTGAATGGTTAGCGGGGCGTAAATCCTTGAAGAACGTAACGTTTCTACTTCGTAGGGCGAAAAGTGATGCGTGGGCCAGTGCTATTGAAACTGGATTGTCTGCTGACACTCTTTTGTCGTCTGTGGAGCTCTCCGTTTGTGGGTCGTTGAGTGATACTTCGATCCTTGCGTTAGGAAAGCTTACATTAAATGGAGCTTTGACCAGGCTTTCTCTCAACATTTCAGGCGATATGCAAACTTTGATCGCTAATGTTATCAGTAGAGGAATTGCACTACAAACCACATTAAAGTCGTTCAGTCTTAACATTGATGGCAACCTTAGTAGTTTTGGTGCTGATAGCCTGAAAAGAGGCCTTCTGGAAAATTGTTCCCTAAATAATTTGAGAGTGTCTGTCCATGGAAAGGTTCCGAGCAACTGGCAGACGTTTCTGGAAACTATTCGTTTGGCAAAGAAGTTATCTGTTACTCTTAATTTTTACCCAGATTCTTGCAGCGGAATAACACATAATCAACTGGATAATTTTTGTCCTGGACCAGATGTGGTTGAGAAAGGTTTACAGACAAAACAGGATTTAACTGTGGTCATTTGGGGTGAGCTGAGTTGTGATGCGGCAGAAGCTCTGTCTGAGGTCTTGGTACGTGCTTCCCTAACAAGCTTGGCGTTAAAGATGCACGGAAGAGTAACTGATAATGTTGCTTATTGCATTGAAAGATATGTCAGACGACACAAGACACTGCTCTCCCTGACAATTGACGTTTGGGGGGAATTGGCACCGGGAACACGTACTTTTCTTCAGGGGCTAGCAAGTACCGACAAAACTGTTGAGGTGAGAGTGCATGGCGTCTGGGTCGTTTCTGATGAGTCATGCAATGCCCTTGATGTCTGTATTGACAGTATTGAATCACTTTCACCGGTGTTGTATAAAATCAAGGATACCAGAGAGGAAAAGATCAATTTAAAAATCGTTAACGACGATGGTGCAAGTAAAGACTGGACACACCTTGTTGGTGATGCCTTGGCAGAAAACACGACAGTAACCGCGCTCGATGTTACGATCAACAACTACATGACAAACGTGACAGCCGACTTAGGGAAAGAACTTGGGGAGAGTTTGTCGAGAAGCTCTTCACTGACAATTTTAAATCTTGCAATCAACAACTACAGTAAGATGGCAGAAGGTTGGGAATGCAGTCTGGTTAATAGCTTATCCAAACTGGCTTCATTAACTACACTCAATCTTGCAATTGACGATAATGGCGAAGGAAGGACAGCTGGAAAGAAAGGTTTGGTTGACGGTTTGATGGAAATGACGTCATTGTCTACACTTTCCATTGTAATCAATGATAGAAATTTGTATAATTTCTGGAGTTCCTTTTTGCGAAACTGTTTGGGGAAAAACACTTCACTGGCTCTACTCTGCGTTACAGTTAACAACTATGACGACAACATAGAATATCCAGATTATTCATTTGATTACCCAGAAGAGGAGCCTGATTACTGGTACGAGGGCCTAGCTGATGGCTTGGCAAGAACTACATCATTAAATGAACTAACTCTGACAATTAACAACACCACTCTTATTAATAATTGCTGGGTAGAAAGTGTCTGTAAAGGATTTTCAGAAAACGAGTCAGTGACTACTCTTACTGTGACAGTCAGCGGCGATTCCCTTTTCCCAGACTGTGTGAGCTGGGTCCCCGAACTGAATAACGGTTTGTCAAAAAACAATTCATTAACTACGCTCACTCTTGTAGCAAACGATTACTCGGAAGGTGAAGTGCGTGAAGTTAGGGATTTCTGGGATGATGAAATGTGTTCTCTTGAAAACACATCGTTAACAACGCTTAATCTGACATTCAACATCTGCACAGAAGTCAGTGAAGATTGGTTACCAAAACTGTTTGACTGTTTAGTGAATAGTCCCTCGTTGACAACACTTAGGTTGGACGTTAACAACCATTGCGCTACAAATGAAAGTCGCTTATATGACTTAAGTAAACTTCGTTTGAAATACAGATCACTATCGTCATTTGAACTCACTGTGACTTTCTATGGAGAGTACACAAGTCCAGTGCCAAACGTGTCCTGAATTTGTTGTGCTTCGCATAATTATAAGGTACACATTTATACAGAGAAATGATAACTCAGGAGTACTAAAAGGAAAGCTGACAAAATATTCCAACATGAGTTACTAGTAGTTTTAGAGTTAGGAAAATATTGTAACTGATGATTGTGACTCGTACACCATCTGGTCCAGTGTGACCAAGGTAAATGCAGCATGAGTTACTAGTGGTTTTAGAGTTTGATAAATATAGTAACTGATGATTGTGATTCGTACGCCATCTGGTCCAGTGTGACCAAGGTTAATACAACACGGGTTATTAGCAGTTTTAGAGTTTGATAAATATTGTAACTGATAATTGTGACTTGTACGCCATCTGGTCCAATGAGACCAAGGTTAATACAACATGAGTTACTAGTAGTTTTAGAGTTTGATAAATATTGTAACTGATGATTGTGACTCGTACACCATCTGGTCCAGTGTGACCAAGGTTAATACAACATGAGTTATTAGCAGTTTTAGAGTTTGATAAATATTGTTACTGATGATTGTGGCTTGTACGCCATCTGGTCCAGTGTGACCAAGGTTAATACAACATGAGTTTCTAGCAGTTTTAGAGTTTGATAAATATTGTTACTGATGACTGTGGCTTGTAGACCATCTGGTCCAGTGAGGCCAAGGTTAATACAACATGAGTTTCTAGCAGTTTTAGAGTTTGATAGATATTGTAACTAGTTATTGTGACTTGTACGTTATCTCATCCTGTGTGGACAGACGTCAAAAATGACAACCGGAAGTTGATACTTCCTCCTTTTCAGTCCTCTAAAACAAAGACATTCAGATTCAGTTTGTGCCACAGAAGCGTGTCATCAAGCGAGACATCGAACTTCCGGTTGCTATTCATAACGTCTGGTAGGTCAGCGTTCTCGTTGCTTAAGTTCGCTATCACTTCGACTTAAAACTCACCGAGGCCAAGTTTGATAGAAATGATAACTTTGCATGTTTCCCATTAGAAAAAATTGTTCTTTTAATAGTGAAGTTTGTTTGATAATGAGGAATTAATGGGGGAAATGTAATTTAGTTTCATAGAACATACTTTTTTATTTTAATTTAGTTTAGCTTAATATCGTCAAGCCGAGGGCGATTAGTTTGAATCGACTGCATCTGGTTTGTGGATGCAATGAACATTTGTTACAAGCAAGAACAATAGTTACTTTATTCAGAATGGTATAGTTACAGTTTTCAACGCAATTAAAGAAATTTTTCAAGTACAAATGCTGAGTAATTTCTTGTTAATGTAGAGCGTTTGCACTCACGTGGTTGATCACGTGGCCAGCAGCTTTAGAAATTTATTGAACAGAAGAAAATTTTTGCTCAAGAAAAAGCTTCAACTCTCACAAAATCTGTTTGGGACACCAACATGGCCACCATTTTACCAAAGAGCGTTTTCACTCACGTGGCCAGAGTCTATGCAAATTTATTGGAACAGAAGAAAGTGTTTGCATAACAAAGGAGTTCATCTCCCACAGGATTGGTTTGGGACACCAACATGGCCGCCATTTCACTATTTTAGGACACAAATATGTCGAACGTGATCTCATTAGAAAACGCTCAATAGGTTATATTTAAATTCTCGGCGCGACCTTGAAATAGTTTGCGGTCACGTTTCGTGTGGGAAGTTAAATTCGTGCGCCTCGATTACAAGATAGCAAACGTTGCTGATGGAGGAGTCACCATCCTATTGGACTTAAACTCCTGAATTTCCTTGAAAATGTTGAGAAACAAATGCGTAAAAGTCGTGTTAAGAGCCCAGTGGTTAGTAGCGATCTAGGGTAGTTGGGAAGTGGTGGGGGACAGCTTACTTGTGCAATGCAAGACACTCATTGTACATTGTTCAAATATTCCACATCTTTTTCTTTATGAAGCACATTTTTGTGGATCCTCCCCCTCAGTTCGTACACAGATCTCACTCTGTCTTACGCCGTGAGAGATCTGGTTACGAGATTACTTCTCTCCCTTCTTCTCACTCATTCTCTCAATTGCTTATTTATACCTTTTGTTTTATCACAATGAGAGCTGCATTGTTCTTGTCTCAAACCTTTAGTGCTATCAAAAATTTGTTCAGGGTGGGAGCTTATCTGCTTCCATTCAAGATTACAACAGTTTCCTGAAGAATCCGGCGTTGATGAACAAAATTATGTGGTTGTGAGTGTTACTGTCAGTGACTCTCATCATATTTTGCACCTGCCCTCCCCACCCTCTAAGTATTGAACGTTACCAACAGAGGTTACATTTGTATGGTTAATTAGATTTTGTGCGTAGATTGAAAACGAAGAACTAACGTTAAGCACGGTTTCATTAGTGACTCTGTAGTATGAAGCATTTTGTTCCGATAAAGTCGCTTGAACGAGGTCAGATTTTTGCGAGCATGCTTTTCCACTTTTTTTTGTCCAAACAAGAAATTATTCCCTTCCAGAAACTATCTGGGGAATGGGTACAAGCTTTCGGCGCAACGATTTTTGGGATCGTTTGGGTGGACAAGCGTTACCTATGATTGGTTTATGGTTGCCTTGGATACCATCGACCAATAGAAAACTAGTTAACGTTCACCCAAAGGATCCCAGAAATTTTTTCATCGAGAGCTTGTACTAATTCCCTTAATAGTTTCTGGAGTGGGGAATTACGGTGACGTAAATAACTTAAAACCCACGACTTGCTCAGCACAAATGTAAGGCACCTGATTGTTGGGTTGGAGGCCCGGGTTCAAACGAAGTAGGAGCAACGAGCCGGGTGTTTTAAAAAGGGGTGATATCCTACTGGATGTGCACGAAACATCTTCACCTTAGCTCATATGCTCGTGTTTATGAGCCTGCGATGCTGAGGCGTTGGCCTTGCATCCAACACCCGTCATCCTGAATAGCGGTAATATACTGGAACTAGCTCACTATCGAGGCTTGTACATCTTATTAACAACACAAATCCATTCTATTTTGAAGGATGCGTAAAAGAAGTCTCTCTGCTTTGCTAGGAACCTAGTTCTGTTTGTGTGGTCTAGTTGTCATTGTGGGTGTCAATGAGAAGGGAGTAATATCAAAAGGGACGGGTGGGTACCCTGTTTCATCATTTGCCACTTTGGTAGAAACTCAAAAGAAGCGACAATTTTTGATATGACAACTTTTTTTCTCACATCAACCTCGCTACAATACGAAAAAAAATCTCTCTTACAACATAGCCCTTCACATTCTGTCATCAGTACTCACAAGGCTCAGTTTGTGACCGTCTACAGTTCACCGTGTGCAATAACTTACCAGATCGTTTGGTCTTTTAAACACTGTCACATTACTCTGTCTTATTCAGTTACTGTAAAATTCCGAAAATAAGTTCCTCAATGTATAAGCCCCTCTAAATATAAGCCCCCCAAACCCATAACGCAAAAAACCCTCCGTTAAATCGCCCCTCCAAATATAAGCCCCCCGGGGGCTTGTACTTGGAAAAATGTCTTCAGATACAAAGTAGAACAAAGCAAAAACGGTAAATTTACTTCCAACTATGAGGCTAGCCCAATCGATTTTGAAACGCAAATTTTCCTCCGTAGATAAGCCCCTCCGAAAATAAGCCCCTCAAAAAGGGCCTTTGAAAAAATAAGCCCTGGGGATTATTTTCGGAATTTTACGGTAATTCTTCCAAACCAAGAGAGGATAAAGGGGACAGAGAAGGCATCCCCCATACACACCCTATTCCATAGGTAATTCGTCTCGAGTTATTGTTAAGACCATAGATCCCAAGGGGGATTAGACAACAGCCAATCACATAGCGCGAATGTGTTCCGCGAGGATGACCCACGCTCAGAGCCATGCGTCCTTCACGAATTGACGCAGAAAAAATGGCAGAAGACGCGGAGAGCGATATTGCTATTTGTTTTGTCGACGGAAACGACTAAAGAGAGATTTCTGCTAAAGCTGTGTCAGCGAAATGGAAATTAAAAAAGAATCGCCCCTCCTCTCTTGTATAGAGCTAACAGTACAGCAGGGAAATCCTTAACACACTGAATATTCTGTCAGGATCATTTATAATTTACAGTTTGAGGAGAGCAATTTCTGCTTTGATATTTAGTCTTTTATTAGTCTTTAATTATTCAACAAAAATAACACTTGGCGTCCTACTTGCTTTATTATACAAACGACCGGTTTCAATAGACAGGCAAAATTTCTCATATTATTAAAGCTCTGAGGTTACGACAACTTCGAGTTAAACTGATTTCACGGGTTGTCAAAGAGTCCAGCGATTCCCTTTTTCAAGATGAGCGCCGACTCATTTCGCTTCAATATTCAAAAATGCTTTCGATCTCTTTACGCTTTCGCCCGACATGTTTTGCACGGCGTTTAATCATGCGAAACCTCCACGAAACATCCACGCAGCGCGCGAGGTAACTTTATCCCGATTCTAAAAATAACTCGAGACGAATTACCTATGGAATAGGGTGTGTATGGGGGATGCCTTCTCTGTCCCCTTTATCCTCTCTTGTTCCAAACCCATTCATAGCATCGAAGTACCCATGTTAAAAAAAAAACGAAACCTTGGCTTGTGTTAGTAGGACTATAACAGAAAAGTATTAGCGGAATAAAGCCGTCGACGCGAAATCCTAACATCTTCGCAGGTTTGTATTGTACATTACTGTGACAGATTCAGACCTTCAGATAACCCGGGGGGTGTTCTACCTATAATGGCCTATATGGGGAGGTTCCGTGGCTTCCACTTGAAAGGAGTAATTTTTTGTTGTTGTTGTTTAGGCTTCAGGTACGAATGGGTAGGAAAAGTAGAAGTTGAAGAGTACGGACAATCAAACGGGATAAATAACAGATGCATTTTGTGGCTGTAAAAGAGTCACAAATACCTTCTGGCTTAAGGATTTATTCATGATCTGCAAAAAATAGTGCATTTACGGCAGTTAGAGGGGGTGTCATTTGTCAATAGAAGGTATACGAAAGGGGTACCTTTTCTGTCAAAAATGGTTTGTAAAAGGATAA